GCCTATACATTTCGGCCTGTCCCCGCCGCCCCGCCCGCCGCCGCCGCCCCCGCCCCCGCGCCAGGCCCCGCCCCGCCCGGCCCCGCGCGCTGCATCGTCCCATCGAGCGGCCCGCCGCCGCCGCCGGGGACCCCCGCGTCCCCCCACACCGCAAGATGGCGGCCGGGAAGGGCCCGCAGCCGGAAATGACGCCACCGCCGCACGCCCCGCCCACCGCCGGGCGGCTAGCGCGCGCGCAGCCCGAAGCGGAGGAGGAGGAGGAGGAGGAAATGCGCCGGAGCCCCGGATGGGGAGAGATGGGAAAGGCCGAAATGTATAGGCCTCGAACTACGCCACCTCCGTCGGCATAGCAACCGCCGCTTCCGGCCCTGGCCCGGAAGAGCGGGCGCCATCTTGGGGCCATAGAGGCGCCCCCTTAAAAGTCTAGGAACGTCTGAAAGGTAGAACGTGCCCGGCTTCGATCCACCATAGAGTGTGGCTCTCAGCGGGGAAAGAAGGGCCCTCGCCGTTTTATTAGCGGCCCCTGCTGGACGAGGGAGGAAAAAGCTGGATTTATTCAGCTTGGAGCAGGAATCCAGAAAGGGGGGCCTTGTAGGTCATCTAGTCCAGCCCCCTGCCAAAGCAGGAGACTACGTTATATCTCATGATTTAACTGCTGAAATATTTATAGATTTTTTAAAAAAATGCATAATTGGGCTGAGATGAGAAATTGCATCGACTGGGGACAGGATATATCCATATAGATTAAGACTTGGGGAGGTGGGGGTGTCGGATGGGTGGTGGAGGACCCAAACAATTTGCAAGCGGATGTTTGCCGGATTGTAGGATGCAACCGGGAACCCGATTTTTAAAATTCCAAGTTTGCAAAACAACAGAACCCAATGCATAAAGATCGTAACGCGACGGCTAAAATGGAATGGAATAAGAATAGCATAGCATAGGAAATGGAATTAGAACAGAATAGAATAGAATAGAATTCTTTATTGGCCAAGTGTGATCGGACATGCAAGGAATTTGTCTTGGTGCAAATGCTCTCAGTATTTATCAATCATCTCTGAGGTGTGGCCTTACTCCTGAGTCGACCCTGCTTTCTCAATGGTTCTCCTCTTCGCAGCTCTGTGCATGTGCAGGCTGGAAACCGACTCCAGAAGCTCCCCTGCCTCCCTGCTGTCCGAGCCCAAAGGCAGCTGATGACCGCCAGCCTGCCCTGGCCCCATCTCTGCCTCCGATGCAGAGCCCTCGTCCGAGCCTTCCTCAGCCTCCATTCTGCTGCCAGCTCCGTCAGCCGCCTTTTGCTACAAAGCCACACCACCTTTCCCAACGAAGAACCAGCGGATTGTGTCCCCGTTCTGAATTCAAGAAACTCCAAATATCTCCAGTCCATCCTCCACACCCTTCCCAAGTCCCATCTTAGCATCAAAAGGGAGAAGAAAAGGTGGGGTGAGAATATAATTATGCATATTTCTATACAATACAGTACAATTAGTAGGTAGGTGAAAGGAACAGAATTTGAAAGATGATTGCGTGATGCTATCACAATGATGTGAGTGTGATTAATGCCATTAAGGCTTATTAAAATGGTTCATCTCATGACTATTATTTGGTACCAAAATTAATGAAACCCAGATACCACACTGTTTGTATATTTAATATTTATACATACTTAAAAATAATAATAAAAAAACTTAATAAAGAAAAAAAGGGCGAAAATGGCAACTTCTGGCTTTTTCAGTTGGATCCAACAGCTGCTGGTTACTGCTTTTTTTTTTTTTACCTCAGGATCTTGTTAAAAAGAAAGCGCCTCCAAACCCATCAAGCAATCCCCCCTTTGGGTTTTTCGAATTCATAAGCTTTAGTCTTACAAGTTCTTAGCAAGTCCCCTGGGAAAGGAACCAGCTTGTCAGATTCAAGTCCGTAAAAGAAGGAAAAGTGTTAAAAGCTTAAAGCCTGAATCTATCTATATAAAATGCGAAGTGAAATCTCCAGAAACCGTAAAGCCTACAAACTTGACATTGGGCCCGTATGTTCCTCTCGGCTTCTAGGTGCTCAATAAGAAAGGATTTTTCCAAATGACCATCAGAGCATTTAGAGTATTTCCTATATTATTATTATTATTATTATTATTATTAACACGCTGTGATGCTAAGGAGTTCTACTCCCCCTCCCCACCTGAAAAGAAATCTCTTCCCAATGGATGAATGTATCTTTTCTTTTATGTACACTGAGAATATTTGCACCAAGACAAATTCCTTGTGTGTCCAATCACACTTGGCCAATAAAGAATTCTATTCTATTTTATTCTATATTTTATACATATATATTTCTCTGCCTGCCTGCCTGCCTGCCTGCCTGCCTGCCTGTCTCTATCTATCTATCTATCTATCTATCTATCTATCTATCTATCTATCTATCTATCTATCTATCATCTATCTATCTATCTATCTATCTATCTATCTAATCTATCTATCTATCATACATACAGACATACTTACATACATTATATACACACACATGTATGTACATACGTACGTACGTATGTATGTAAAGTATCAAAGTGGAATCACCGCTGTCTTCTCTCTGGCTTGCCCTTCTGCCTTTGAACAAATGGGATATAATTCTCTAAATCTCTCTGCTGGCTCAGAAGGCCAATTTCTCCCCGGAGGTTTCTCCGCTCCTCCAGTCTGGGATCCACAGGGGAGCCAAGATCCCCGATGCATTCCCTCCTGAAGGCAGGGGAGGGCAGCCAGCTCTTGGGAAGAATCCAAGCGGGCCTGGCCCAAGCCAGCAGAAGGAGCTGCTTCCAACCCCCCCGTCCCTCCCTCCACTGCTCCCCTTTCCAGCGCCAATGGGATGGCATCTTCCTTGCTGCGTCAAACGGAGGTGGCGATGCCAAAGCCTCGGGGAGGATACCTAATGTGGAGAGCCAGAAGCGCCAGCGGGTCCAAGGAACGGCACTTGGGCCTCCCTTTTTTCTGGGCATTGGGGTGAAGGAGGGGGAAAGAGAAGGAGGAGGAGGAAGAGGAGGAGGAAGAAGAAAAGGAGGAGGAAGAAGAGGAGGAGGAGGAAGGGGGGAGGTGTCTCCTGGCACTGGCCACCCCTGCACAGCGCAGCTGACCCAGAGCCGTTTCAGCACCACGGAGAGCGCAGCAGACGAGCCGCTTGGATTTCAGCACCACGGACAGCAGCTAGGTCGGAAGAGCCCATCTTTTGAAGCGGGGAGGGGGAGGAAGACTGCAAAGGACGACGTCCCCCCCACCCCAGAGACACCCCTTTTCCCTGCTCCCCCCCCCACCTCCCCGTCATTGGAGCCTGGCTGCTGAAGGACCGCCCCCCCCACCAAAAAAGGGGTGAAAACAGGAAGATTGGTGGAGGAAGAGGGGTGGAAGGGATGGTCCTTCCTGAGGGGAGACCATGAACCCAACCTCCATGGCTCTCCTCGCCTGCCTCTGCCTCTTGGGGACGCTGAGAAGTAAGTAAGGACGGTTTTCGGTACCCCCCCCTCTCCTTTTGTCCCCGTAAACCCAGGGCTTTGTTTGAAAAGGGGATGAGGGCCTTGGTGGTTCTCACCTCTCCAGAGGGAGCAGAGGAGGGTAACAACTTCCAGTGGGAAAATGGCTGTTCTTAGTGGCCTCCAACTCCCCCCCCCGCCCCCTGCACCCCCCCAGCAGTCACTCTATTGACGTTAGATAGAGCTCTGGCCACTAGGTCCTCCTCCTCCCCCTTCAGGTTTGAGACAGGAAAGCCGTATCAGGACTCGTCCAAAAAATTAGGAATGGAGCGGAAGAATAAAATAGAATAGGATGGAATAGAGTAGAGTAGAAAGAATAAAGGACAGAATAGAAAAAAATGAAGAGAATAGAGAAAAGTAGAAGAGAATAGAAAGAAGAGAATAGAGAAAAGTAGAGTAGAATAGAATAAAAGAGAAGAGAGAAGAGAAAGAAGAGAAGAGAATAGAGAAAAGTAGAGTAGAATAAAAGAGAAGAGATTAGGGAATAGAATAGAAAGAAGGAAAGAGAATAGAGAAGAGTATAGAAAGAAGAGAAGAGAAATAGAAATGAATAGAATAGAATAGAAATGAATAGAAATGAATAGAATAGAATAGAATAGAATAGAATAGAATAGAATATACTACTGCCATACTACATGGGTAAATATACTTAGACAACACTATCAGAATTAGGCGTTCCGCAGATTGACAGCACGAGAGAAAAAAATGGCCCCTCGAGAGGGAAAATAACTAGAAGGATACAAGAAAAACACTTGATCATTCCCCCCCCGCCCCCCCCAAAAAAGGATCCCAGCAACGGAGGGATCTTCCTAAACCGATCGCATCTTTTAGCTGCCCAGTTTTCTGACTTGACGATCGGATGGCCGTGATAGGATCAGCCACCCCATCCCACCATCGGTTGGGTTCAAAGGACCTTGCTGGTCTTCTACTCATCCCTGGGGGAGGGGTCATCCTGCCGTCCTTCTGCCCACATTCCCCCCAGGCGAGAGTTGATCCAACGGGGGGTGGGGTGGGGAGTTTGGACTCTCGACGTCCACGATGGGCTTTGTAGTACACCCTTTCTGGAGGGGTAATCTCTCTCCTTGCTTCCAATTGGCTGCATTTGGAAGGAAACCAGGTTTGGTCTAGGATAGAAACCACCCAATATTTGGGGCAAAGAAATTAATGGTGTAGGTTCCCCCCCTCAAAATGGAGAACTGCATCCTTTTAAACCAGTTCAGACAGGATTTCCCCTTCTTTGGCATTCCGTAGAATCGTAGAGAATCCTTACGGTTGGCCAGAACCTCAAGGGACCCTGGAGGTCTTCTAGTCCAGCCCCAAATGAAAATCCTCAGACGGCTGTTTAGCCATTGCTCAAAACCCTTCAGCACCCCAAGAACCAGTTTGTGGTTCAGCTGCTTCCCAGCTCTCCCAGTAACGGAATTCTTACTCGAACTGGTTGTTCCTCCTTCTCTTCTTTTAGCTCAACAGGCCCAGTTTTTTAGGCTCTCCCTCCTGGGGGCACAGCACCCCCCCCCAAAAACCCCCCCCCCCCCTCCCCTTGTCCTTCTCATCCCTCTTCCTCAGTTTCCTCCTTGTATTGATACAACCCAAACAGGATCCGAGAGACTCCGGTTTGGTTCCAGTGGGTTTCAGACAACCCGAAAATCCACGCCAAGGGTTTGATTTCGGTATTTTTTTTTTATGTTTCCTGTCTCGGAAAAATCAAAAACCCCACTGCTGGTTTCGTGGCCGTTGCGCAGGCAAATTTCTTCAGGCCGAGAGGCTCCCTTGAGGCTGTAGGAAAAAAAGAGTTTGGGTCCAGGGTTTTGGGTGGGTTTCTCTGCATTCTTTCCTGAAATTCAAATGACGCTAGCTGCCCATCTCTTTTGGCAAATACAAGAGAGAGAGAGGGAGAGGGAGAGGGACAGAGAGTGATGGAGAGAGAGAGATGGAGAGAGAGACGAAGAGAGAGAGATGGAGAGAGAGACGAAGAGAGAGAGATGGAGAGAGAGAGAGA